TTCCAACCTCTGCTGGGCAAGCTCATAGTTCTTTCAGACTGAAACTTGGCTGCATTTGTCCCTTCTTTTTTTGCCATGTCCCCAAGAGAAATAGCAAAACTTGTATGCATGGCACAGAGCTTTTTCTAGGAGTTATCAGGGCTGTGACACCACTATCTAAAAGGTAGTTAGAAAAGTAAGCAAAATGTCCAATATCTTAACAGTGAACGGTTGTTGCACTGTTTTGCTTCATATCTGAAGAGGTTTATCAATATAAAAAATAGTAGGAGCCATCAGCATGGCAAACTTCTATTCTGAATTGGTAGCTTCAAGTTTTAAGCAGCTGAAAATAGCCACAGAATCAGCACTGCTGGGCAACTTTCTTGATGTATGGCCCTATACTTAGACTATAATTGTGCTAGAGTGAATGAGACAGTAACTGTAAATTGGAAGGAGCTCGGTGAATACTAATCATGACTTAATCCACTGGGAAACAGATTGGAAGATGCTCACGTCCACCATGCTATAGTATTTGAGGGGAGAAAAAAATAGCACCCCGTGAATTTTTCTTTGAAACTATTTTTTCCTTTTCCTCACCAAGTAGAAAGTAAATTACATTTCTGGAGTAGTTTTATGAAGTCAAAGGAAATGGATCTCTCTCTCTGTCTTGGCTAGTAAAAATACTACCGTTCCTGTTATTGCTTGTGGTTGTAGTATCTAAAAGAATAAATATCTTGGAAAATAACTGATCTTCCAAAATCTGATAGCTTTCAGAATATTAAGTATGCACATAAGCACTAAAAACTATGGCTTTTCCTTTCTGAAACACTCAGACATGGTTAGGTTGTGATCTTCTGACTCAGGTTATTATCTTAAAGCTTAGTCCATGGCACTCTTAATTTGTTTTTAAAGATGAAAGTATTTGTAAAGATAAAAGTATTCGTATAAAAGAAGCAGGAACAGCAAAGTACGTGGAAAATTCTTCCTCGGAGTATTGTGAAAGTACAGTAGCAAACCAGTCCAATTACACCTTTGCCACCAGAATCTGCAACAGCTTTTCACCGCAGTCAAGTGACTTAGGGGCTCGTTAGCATCTCTTTACTGCCCTGGAAAAAGTTGTCATCATTGCTTTTGTTGGAGACAGAAATTCAGGTCAAATAGAAGCAATTTAATATTTGAAGAGCAGCAGTTTATTAAGCAGCTGACAGTGCTGGGCTTTAGAAGTGACTTGTGGTGGCTGCTTTCTGCCACTTGAGTCCTGGTTTCAGCGAGTCTGCTGACACGGGCAGATGCTGAGGAAGGAGTGAGAGTCCTGCTTCCTGGGTGCAGACTGATTGAACTCCCTTCCTGTGGGATCTATGCAGCTATTTTTCAAAGCATCTGGCATAAATTCTGTCAATTTAAGATGTTAGCCCAAGTAACCCTTTCTTAACCCAAGTAACCCTTCCTTAACCTTGCATGTCAAAACCTGTGAACTTCTGTTTTATTCCTGGGGGAGATAAATTGTTAAGTCCTCGTGGGCGTTCTGTTTAGCCGTGGAGGGTCAGCCATATGGTGCTGCATCTGCTCTCACTTCTGAAAGGGAACTAATTCTTCGTGTGTTTGGTTCTTACTGGTTCTTTGGGTTTAGCTGTTACCATTTAATGCCATGGGAAAATAGAGCTTCCCATGTTGAACTCAGTGCAGTTTGATAAAGCATTCTACATTAGCTGGTGTTATTTTTAAAGTGTTGCCGTAACTGAAGATTTGCTTTTTTAGCGTCTCAGTTTTGCTCTGAAAATCACATTGTAAATACTGCTACTGAACCACTAGGATTAAAAACAAATTCTAAAAGCAAAAATAGATTGGCCTTTAAAGTAATAAAAAAATCGTTAATCTTCACCATCAAATTATTTTACCATTTAGTGTCCTTTGAAATGTGTGCTGACTGAATTTCGTGGCACTGACTTCTTGCCTGTGATAGATAGTGTCTTCTAATATTGAACTGTAGAATTACTACTTTATTCCTGTAAGGCCGTGCGAGTCTATTATGCACGGACGTTTCTTAATGGGTGATCTCTGTAGGCATGTAATTCCTGGGATAACGTGATAATTAAATATCCCTTGCTTATCCCATTAACCCAGGGCAAACTCAGTATGCTAGAGCCAGATGAATGCAAAGTGACTCTGCTGTTCCTGGGCTACAGCTGGGGATTTTTTTGCTCATCAGTGCTAACATTTGTTCTAGGGAGTGCAGTTTGACGTTGGGTCTTGTGGAGATCTTTCCCCCAGGTAGTGCACTGAACAGCCTCCAACTCGAGGTTTAAATTGTCATGAAATTGCTGCAAACCTCTTGCTTTCTAAATACAGTCTGAAAAGAGAAAGTTTTAATGACATGATTTCATATATATTTCAAACAGATGTAGTTAAACCTGTTGAAGATGACTGTGTAGCTTCTCTTTATTTAGAATCATGACTGGTTTATTTGGTTTAGCGAGGCTAAATAGAGCTAATCAGCTTTAAAGCAAAATAAGCTGATTTTTTTATATAGAAATGAATGTCTGCACGTCTCTTTCTGCTGGTTAAATTCTATTAAATTTAGTAATGTCTAGTAGTAGTAGCATACTGGTAGGTGTTTCTAATGCTTACATTCTTGGGTTAAGGTTTTAAGGTTAATCCCTTGTTTCCAGATTAATCTTTCTCGGTGCTCATCTCCGTCTTTCTCAAAGGTTTCTCCCCACCACCGTGCCAGCCTTCCTGCTTAGGATCCTGCTAGTTTTGCTGGCTGTGACCCACCCTGCGTTGTCTCCACATAAATTGTGTGTTCTTTATTTACTCCTGGTAGGCACAGGGAGCACTCCAGCCCCTTTCCTTGAATAACATCTTGCACCTTGTTCTTCCTCGGTTACGAAACCCAATTGTCATGTACACCTGTTAGACCTGCCACTGAGATGGGGGAGTGTGTGGTTTTGTGTCAGAATTAATGAGCTAATGTTTCCTTTAGAAGCCTAAGAGTGAAAAAACCCCCTCGTTCTTTTGGATGAAGATGGGTTTCCTTTTCTGGTTTTAATTCTGTCCTAGATCTCAGAGAATGTGTTGGAAAATATATTGGAGACGTTGTCTTGTGTCCTTGAACACACAACTGAGGAATGAAGCAGCTGGGGAGTGGGCAGTTCTTTTAGCAGGAACAGATAAAATGCACCAGGGATGATGCATTTGCTGCAGCAGTTGAAATGATGAGCATCAAGTCTGTGCCATCTTTGTTTACCTGAGCGTGTCATGTACCACATGTCTTGAATTCAAACTCGGAGAAAGTTTAATAAAATGAAATCTGCCTTTGCTTGCATCTTTCCCCAGTACTGACTGTTCCTTCTGGTCCCCATGCTTGACAGGGAAGGAGAAAGTGGACTCGAGGCACAACCGAGGGAGAGGAGGTGTCAACGTGGCACAGCCTGTCCGATTTAGCAGTAAGTTGCAGACTGGGAAATCTGGGCCATCTTCCTGCTAATTAATTTAGAAATTTAGGCTATTTTTAAAATCCAGCCCTCTCACCTGCAGCACTGCTTGTGCCGCTGTCGGCATCCCAGTCCCAGCCTTACCTAAAGCATTATGAATGTCCTGCAAGTGTCCTTCCCATCTCTCCAGGCCCAAAACTTCTGAGTCTCCCCAGCCTTTTGCCTCTTAGCTTGGTTCCCTCTTTGCTCCAGGGATCATTCAATGATTTGGGAATGAGACGCTGCACTGATTACCTTGGAGACTGGGATGGGACAGGTTAGGAAGAGAACATGGGGGAAAGACATGGGAACATAGGGAACATGGGAATGATTATTTGAACTCTGGTGATCTTCTGAAAAAGACAAGTGATTGGTATTTTGATTTATCATGGATTCTGGTAGCTAAATTATGTTATTAAAATTTATGGAGGACAATAAAGCAATTTAGAAATCAATATGACAATTTCTAATGTGCTCTGCAGTCTGATTGGTACTGTATTCTGCCCCTCCTTAGTGATGTAAACAGTAGATCTTAAAAGATCCTATATAAATGGAGAATGAGGAAAGGTATTTAATTAATGGGCTTCAAACCGAAGTTTGTATATAATTATTTGATGGTAAAGATCACTGTTTCTGAAGGGAGTAAAGAGGCTTGAGAACAGAACTGTGACTTGCATGGAATGAACATAAACCAGTTTCTGAATATGAAGCTTCTTTCTTATGTGTGCAAAATTAATACTTCAGGTGCAGGTGCTAAAATCATATTTTTAAATTTCATCCACCTGTCTCTGTGATTCTCTCTATTAGTCACCCATCACCTCCATGAATGTCAGTCCAAAGCCCATGGGCCTGTTTCATCCAGAAGTGCCTCCAGGCTTTTGTTTCAGGTTCCCTCAACTGAGTTAATTGAGAGAAAGCCGAGACAGCAGTTCACATCATCACCTTCTTACTTCCTAAAGATCTGCTTTACAGTGATGTTTTTCCAAAGCAACCAAGAATTTCCCCAGAACCCCATCATCTTCAGTGATTGACTCTGGGAGCAGGATTATGTGAATAGTGCTGAGACTGTTTGTAAGAGTAGGTTGAAAACTTCACAACAAGTTGGATGTATTGCTAAGCATCTGACAGAGACACAGTCATTAATTTGGCCACCTCTGGTTTTTATTTCCTGCTTCTTGCTGCTGCTTTTCACTTGATCGAGTTGATTGTTTTTATAACGATATGTAGGGGAATATCTTCCACAGTAGATTGTCAGTCTTAATTAAAAACTTTAAAGACCTTCACAGTGTGATGAAACTTTACTAGGAGTTGCATCTTTTAAAAAACAGCTAAAGAAAAATCAACATTTATCAGAAACTGTAGTAAAGTAAACCTTCAGTGATCTGTAATGTATGCACCTCCTCCTGCAGAGGTGAAGTGTACACAGTATATTGTGTGTAGACGTGCAAGTGGTTATTCATTGCATTGTCATAAACTGATTAGGATGCATTATCTTAAAGATCCTAATTTGGGGGGAATGGTTTCCCTTCTGTTCTTCATGTTTCCTAGGAAAGTGCCCAACAGGATGGCACCACTATGAGGGCACAGCCAGCTGTTACAGGGTGTATTTAAATGAGGAGAACTACTGGGACGCTGTGCAGACATGTCAGCGGGTGAACGGGTCCCTCGCCACCTTCACTGCAGACCAGGAGCTGAGGTTCATCCTGGCTCACGAGTGGGACTTGGAAGAGATGACGTTTTTAGGGAAGGACCAGCACTGGTGAGTGGGAAGGAACGGATGAAGATCTTGTTTTACACGAGAATGGTTTCTGTGTGATACAAATACCGGTTGTTCAGTTTGTGTCACAAATCTAACTGTAAAATTGACATCAGGTGAATAAACCACCACGAACGTGCTGTTTGGCAGTGGCCATCTGTGTTTTATGTTTTAATTAACATTAACAGGTAATTAAATTCAGCAGAGTCTTTTTATCAGCAGTCTTTTCATCTTCAGGTTGTCTCAGCGATGTACAGTTATTCTTGAACTGCAAGAGGAAGGTGGATTTCACAATGACTTACTGCTGCACTACCTTGTCCAGAAATAATTATTTTAATTTTTCATCAGGATTTGATTTCCAACCTGTAGCTCTAAAAAAACTTGCAACTTTGAGATAGGAATGAATTAAAAAAGCCATTTTGAGTTGCAGCAACTGTGTTCTGGTGGCTTTAGATATTTCATTCTATTCATTCACAACAAACATTTCTTTTTTTTTCTGCCTGTGGGTTTTTTCTCAGACTCATGGGCTGCTGTGACAGGTCACCAGGAGTGGTTCAGTAACGATGTATCTCTGTCTCTGGAGTGTTAGATGGTTTGATCCAGAACAGTCTGACATAAGTTGCATATATTTAGAAATACTTGACTTCTGGATGCTGTTGTATGTTTTTTGAGTTTTTGATACTGAAGTGCTGCCATAACAACAGAATAAGGTGCTTATTGTGAGTAGAAATAAAAGACACAGTCAGTTATAATTTGTAAACATAGAAAACTATCAAGTATTTTATCGAGTATTTTCCTCTATTCCTCAAGTGTAGTCTCTCTACATTGCCAACATATGGGCTGAAATGATAAGGACAAAAAACCATCAGAATGTTATGAAAATTAACTTGTATATATAAAGACATTGTAAGGTTCTGTGGGATTTCATTTGTTAGTATGTTTTTGCCCTGTATCCTTAGGATGTAACTTAATTTTTTGGTAGGTTCTGGGTCGGATATCAGTATGTGATCACCAATCGAAATCACTCCCTGGTGGAAGGTCACTGGGAAGTAGCTTATAAAGGTAGGCCTCTCAAATTACTGCTTAGTTCAGTGGCCCATGGAAACTGTCTTAAAGCCTGAATATAATTTGCAAGAACAACATAGCTTCTTTTAGTGATAGTGTTGAATATTGCAGGGGAACTGCTTGGCTTTACAGTGTGGAAATGAAAGAGTTTAATTCTCCATGCATGTCTTATTTTAAAGGTGAGGAAGTTTCATGGTTTTTCACATTGATGTCTTGTGCAAAGAACATGTTGTTTCACTTTATCTGTGTTTCCTACTTGATTAAAATGAGAAAAAGGAAACTATAGTAGTTTCTCGTTCTTTGTGAATATCTAGATGAACTCCTGATTCTAGTATTTGCACAGACTAGTGTAGCATGTTTGGGGATTTTAGCTCTTTAAAAATTGGAAGAATTTTATATACTTAAAAAAAAACCCACTAGATTTTTCAGAATTACTCTTATTTTTTTCTTTTAAAGTACTTCAGGTAGTTTAATTAGACCGAATCAAAATTTGCATAATTCCAAAAATGTATCCCAGCTTACACGAAAAACTCAATGTTAATCTGTTGGGCTTTGCTGGCTGAACTCTTTCAATTGCAAAACAAGCAGCTCCCTCTGCTGACAAGGCAATGTTTCTACACCTTTTATTTTTAACTAATTCAGTTGAGGGATTAGTTATTCTTAAAGTCATTATATGAACTCTTATGTGTACAGTTGCATGTCTAATTGCTGTACTGGTTTAGGTAATGGAAAATTTAAAGCAAAGATGAGGTTTCTTTTAAGCACCAGCACTGTGAAGTCCAGTGTAGCATTTGAAAACCAAGCTGAATAGGTTTTTTTTCTTATACGCAATTGTTGGTATCCATGGAAAATGTGGAAAGGAAGCTGTCCCTTAGGTACAGGTAATAATTATGAACAGAATTTTGCTAAACAGTTGGGTCTTGAAAAATGCTTCCTTTTGACGTGAATACAGACATTCTCCTTAAAAGGACCTTTCTTTGCTCTTTGGAAAGCTGACTGCACTGCCCTCTGCTGACAGTGTTAACAACCAGAGGGGCACAAATTACAGAAAAATCATGGTAACTTTATTGTAAGTTTTATTTAATTTGATGCATTATAGAAATTTAAGCTTTCTCAGTACGATATATTCAGGTGTTGTATTTATTACAGAGATGCCTCAATGAAATAAAGTACACAGTAGTACATAGTAACATCCACTAGTTTCTGAAAACCTTTTCTTAGGCTTCATTGACTTATATTGGAACAGACTCTGAATTCCTGATGCCTGTTTGAAAAGTGATTTAGGGTTCTATAGCTTGAAAATTTTGATTTATTATTGGAACATGTGAAACATGTGTCCTCAAAAAAAGTAATCAACACCCTTTGCAGTGTTTGGAACCCACCACAATACTGTTTGCTAACGTGAGTTGGAAGGAGCAAACAGTGGATGCCCCAGGTGCAGCTAGGGCACTTGGAATGAGCAACAGGAGATGGGGGGAGCACAGGTGGATGCACAGGCATCTTTGGAAGCGCCAGTGGGTGCTTGGAGTGCCAGGCACTCCAAACTCAGCGTGGTTTGAAGATGCGTAACTGTTGTCAGGCAAACCCCGTGGGACTCTGGAAAGCAGCACTTGTGAAGATACCAGGATATCACTTCTCCTGGTTCAGAGTGACAGAATTACCCAGTCCTTTGAAAACAGCAGCCTCTTTTCTCTGTGAGTCACCCCTTTCCCCCCAGCTGTTTGCCTTCCCTGGAGCAGTGTTGCTAATGGAAGCTGGAGCTGGAGGGCAGCAGCCGTGGTGTGCATGGAATGAGTGACATTACAGAGCCTTTCTAAAGCTTTGTATACCCACAGGCTGCTTATGCCAGTGTATCTTTTTGCAGGCTCTTCAGAAGTGTTTTTACCCCCTGACCCCACCTCTGGTACGGCTATGCCTGAAAAGGAAAACGTTCTTTGTGCCCAGCTTCAGTGTTTCCATTATCCTACCTTCCGGCACAATGGTTTACACAGCTGGCATGCTAAAAACTGCTATGAGAAATCTTCATTCCTCTGCAAAAGGAGTAAGTTGGTTTTGGTTCAGTATCAACTGTGTTGTGTGTTTAAATATGCATGTAACAAACACGTGGAAATTTTTTCATTATCCTTTCCGACCTTTGCCCAGTGAATTAAAAAAAACAAATGAAAGGGTGGAATTACGTTTCTGCTTGGTTTTAATAAATAAGAGCATTGTCATGTGTGGCTGTCACACAGTACAGAGTTTCACTAAAAAATTGTTAAGCTGCAGTATCAGCCCTAAAATAAAGTATACTTGGGGGGAAAAAAATTTTTAAAAAGCACCTTATTAGTAAGCATCACCCTTAAATTATTAATTTCACATTAAAATGAGGAAACACTTGTTTCTGGTTTATTTTGAATATAGAAGATTCTCTTGAATTCTTTCCAGACAGTTAGTGGAACTAGAGGAGAAAAGACAAGTGGAGTTTACTGACTTAAAGAAGAAAAGCCATTTTTTTTCACTTTATATTGAATTTCTGTACTCCAAAAGCCTCAATTCCAACAGAAGTATTGACAGGATTATCAGGTAGTCTTAAACAGTACCTGATCTAGATGGTGCTTCATTGCAAGAAGGAGAGAAGCTGTTTAATTGTGAGGGTCGTCAGGAGTGCAGCTGACTCCTGGGGTGGTTGTGCAGCCTCTGTCTTCAGAGGTTTTTATGACCAGATTAGATAAAACCCATTGGGATGTCATAGCTGACCCTGCTTTGATCAGGAAATTGGAACTGGAGGCCTCCTCAGGTCCCTTCCAGCCTGAACTTCCCAGCTGACCCATGCATAGGGTGGAGGGGACAGGCCATCCTCCCTGAGCAGCTGCTCCAGCTGACATGTGCCAGCACTGTGTTTGTTCCCTCGCTCTGGTTTTGGTACCTGCCTTTAGGACAGTGGGCAGAAGGCAGCTGGGCAGGGATCAAGATGCTACTAGGACAGGGGTAGTACTACTGCCTGGCTTCCTTCTTTAGGCCTGGCCTGTTTTAAGTGTCCTTCAGGTTTGGTCCAGAGAAGATCCATCTTTTCCTAAGTACCAGGAGAGAGGAAGGGAGCTGCAGAAGGCTTTGGCAGTGAAGGTTAAACTTCTCAGACCACTTACTTTCCTTTGTCTTGGAGAGGATGCCTGAAAGTGTGTCAGTTCCATTAAATACCTGAAACTCAGCTTGTCAGTTTTGAGCAGTAAATCATCCCTGTGTGCCTCCAGACTATCCATTATCTTCCCCGCTCCTTGGAGATCCCTTTTCAAAGTTGCTGTAAGGTGAAGGCATGGATTTTAACTGGTGGTCTGCTTATGCTTACAAGTCACTTAACGCAACAGAATAAACTGGATTCCATCGATGCCGATGTGCCTTTCTGTTGTAGGCCAGACTTGTGTTGATATCAAAGACAACATTGTCGATGAAGGATACTATTTCACCCCAAAAGGGAACGATCCCTGTTTGAGCTGCACGTGTCACAACGGTGAGCCTGAGATGTGCGTGGCCGCTCTGTGTGAGCGGCCCCAGGGGTGTCAGCAGTACCGCAAGGACCCGAAGGAGTGCTGCAAGTTCACCTGTCTAGACCCAGGTAAGAGTTGACTGCTGCAGTGTTGTCAAGAAAAAAAACAATTGAGTGCTCCACTTGGTTATGTTTGGGTGTAACTTTGTTTGAAATGATGCATCCTTGCAGTGCCTTGATATGGTTGGGTACAGCTGCCCTGTGGGGGAAGATCTCAAATCATAGGAAGGGAAACGCTTCAGGCTGTGGCTGGTAAAAATTTGTTATCCTTGATGCTACTTAGAAAGGAGAAACAGGAGCTTATTTTCAGTATGGAGATTGATAGTACTGTGGGTTATTAGTACAGCGTCTTGCACAATTCCTTTGTCATGTTTAGTTGTTGTGAAAAGGAAGCACTTTTCTCTTGAGCACTAATTAAGCATCTTTTTCTGATTGTGAGCATTTATGTGAGTGGAAGTTCGCATGGAGGGATCATGGGGGAAGCAGAGTTTTTAAACTGTGTAAGTTTCAACAATTATCAGGACATACAACTCTGCTTATTGGATTTGGCATATCAGTGCAGCTTCTTGTTTTGGATCTGTTAAGTCTTCAGTTGACTTTGAATTGTTTGTCAGTCACCATTTAGTGGTGTGGATTTTGGGGGCTTATTTTTCTGTAAAGAGACTTGAAAAAAGAAACATGGCTTACATGGAATTTGCTGTGGGGGTGGTCAAATACTGGAGCAGATTGCTTGTGGAATCTCCATCTGTGGGATATTCAGTGCCTGACTGAACTCTGTCCTGGGCAACCTGCTCTAGCTGATGCTACTTGAGCAGGGGTTGGACTAGGTGATCTCAGGATGTTCCTTTCAACTTCAGCCATTCTGTGATACCGTTATTTTTTGGTATTTTAAAAGAATCTAATCTTATCTGAGTGCGCTAAGAAACTATTGTTCTGAATTCCTGTGGAAAACACAAGGTCAGCTGTTCCCATCAGGGGCTTCTGTTTCAATCTGTTACAAATTTCAGATTTGCTTATTGACTTCCACATTTGCAGTCTTTCTTATTGGTCTTAACTAGAGCAGTTAATCATTAAAGGCCACTGGCTCCTCCTTGTGTCATTTACGTTTGTTCTGAGGGTTAAGCTCAGCAGATGTTCATAGCTTGTGTTGCAGGTCGGTCGGTGAAAGAGTGGGGGGAAAAGCAGGAGTCTTCCTCCCACTCTTATCAGCTGAGCTAAGACTTAGGCTTCACTTTTTTTATCTTCAGGAACAGTGTCAGCAAAGCATCCAGCACACAGGATAAGATGACCTGGGATAACCTCGTGCCGTGTTCTTTAATCCTTACTTATTCCTGTGGGTCTTAACTATTGATGAATACTGATTTGAAGAGTGTATTTTACCACATCCTTTCTCATCCTTAAGCTCTTCCTTCTGTACTGATGCTAAATGAGACTGTTTCATTATACTCTTGCTTGAAGTGTTCTGGTGGTTTTTTTAGTAACTTAGTTTTTGAGAGAGGAATTATCAAGCAGTCCTCCAACTTCCTTCATAATGAAGTTACTTCAGCTAGTGATAAACACTGAAATTTTTAAAGGAAACATTTCAGTTTTCCTTCTGGATGTTTATAAATGACTATTCCAGGTGACGAAAATTAATGAATTACTTTCTTTAATCAGAGTGTATTTACCTCTGTCCAGTTCTTTCATATATCTCCCCTGAGCTCTGTTGCAAAGGAAAGAAAACAGTTTACTGTTCAACAGTAAGTAAATTAATCACCCAAGGAGAGACCGGGGGAAATAAATCCTGCTGTTGGGTTGGCAGGTAATCAGCTCTCGCAGTGTGAGTGGGTGAGCAGTGATTACAAGTGGATAACGAATATTACTCAAGGACTTGGTAGTAGGGGGGTTTTTCAGTGGTAAGAGTAAGCCAAGCAATCGCAGCTATACTCTCCTGAAAGATGCTTCTCCTCATTTAGTGGAAGATAAATAGCAGAGGAGTATCTTTCATATACTAATGCTGGAACTGAGGTAGTCTGTCTATTGCTGCTCCATGGATGTGGTAGAAAATAACTTTTCTTTCGTGGCTCTTGTTTAGACAGACCTACAACTCCTATTTGTGAAAAGGTAATAGAAGAGATAAAATACTTGGAAAGAACTGGTGTGCAGAACCTATTCTAGTGACTAAACTGGTGCAGTTAGAGAGTACTAATACTGTACTGAGCGTAGAAACAGCTTTTCTGAAATAATCTATTTGTATTTTTTTGGGTTGGAAATCTCTGTGATGATATAGATCTTGTTTTGTACAAGGTGGGTCTTTGTCTTTTTGTTGTTGTTGAACGTTAGGAGCAGTGTGACAGAGGCCCACAACGCCCCAGAAGGTCCAAGAATTGCAGTTGTAGCTGGTCTAAAGACATATAGAAGTCAGGTCTAAAGAAATATAGAAGTCAGGCTCGCCTAAATGTGACAACCCACCCCTGAGGGGAAGGAAGCACCTAAGATTTGTAGTGGTCTTTGGTCCAAAGGAATGACAGAAGTCAGAGGGTCCACAAACAATCAGAAAGTTTTATTAGTAAATTACACACTTGGCAGGGAAATTGGTGTGTTAGTCCCTGTCCTACTATATAAACACCCAGCAGGGGGTTTTGGATAAAGGGGTAGGGTGAAAGGCAAGAGAGGAATTAAAGAGGGAGAGATGAATTAAAGAAAGAAAGGAAAAGAGAGAGGAAAAAGAAAAAAAGAGAAACTAAAGAAAGGAAAGAGAGAAAGATCACCAGTCCTGGTTCCAGCGTTGATACAGCTAAGGGGATGTTGGTACTGGTTTCAGCATCAATCCAGCACTGTGCTGTGTTGTGGCTCTTCCTCTCAGAGAAGTGCTGCCCTATTTCCACCTTCCCCCCTTCTCCAGCCAAATCTTGTTCTTTCTCACAGCATGTTAATACCAATAGTCCTTGGTTATTACCAGCAATTCCTGTCTGTTATTACTAACAGTCCTTGGTTGGCTCCACAACCATCCAGTTATCAGTGTTTGAGACATACACATTAGCCCCTTATCATCTGGGAATCAAGAGCTCAAAAGGATTTCATCTTGGACTGCTGTTTGTAGGGTCTTTAGAGAGTGGGCTTTAGTCAGTAATTTTCCATCCTGACCACAGTCTGAGTTGGAAACTTTCTTTGAAGGTTCAGTAACAAAAATATTATTCCATTTGGGTTGTTGTTCTGGCAAGAAAAACAAGTTTCTGAGGCTGTTCTTAAAAAGAGGTGTTCATTAGACACCTTTTAGTTCCTGGGAGCAGACAGTGTTTCTGATAAGCTCAAGAGTGGCTTAGTCTAAGTGCAGTTCGTCAAGGCTGAGGCCTAATGAGCATTTCTCAGATCACAGTGTGGCCTGGGAGTGGGGGATGCGCCACTGCAGTCCGTCCTGTGACCAAAGCCAGCTTCTCTGGGCCTCTACACCTACGAGTGTAAAGTGACTTCTTACTGAAGTCCCTTTAGTGCTATTAACAGCCTTAAATAATTTATGAGGATCACGAAGCTGGCATTGCCATAAGATGGAGGAGGAACAAGGGCAGGTCTGGTGTTCAGGAGGGTGTCTTGGTTGGTAGGTGTGTGACTGCCTCAGCTGAAACTCTGACAACCATAGTTGCTGAAAGGTTTGACAGCACACAGGCTTTTGTACTGCACAGCCAGATTTGAGAGGGTGCAATGTTCAAATTCTGTCTGTAGTGGACTATTAAATTAATTTCTTGTTGCCAGGAATGTATGACATAATAAATAGCAGCCTGCTAGCCTTGTACTGTATCTGTGGTACATTAGGTGGATTTTTCTGTTACTAGCACACCAGCACTTAGAACTGCTGTGAGGCTTTTAGCATTCTTTTTTAAGAAATCTTGATAAAACTTACTTGCTCTTAGTGAAAGGAGAAGTATGGAGGGAGCTCTTGCAGCTGGAGTGGGTGCAGGCAAGGAGAGGTGGCGCAGATCTGGCTGGTTCCTCTGGGAAGTGGGGTGGCAGTGCATTGGCTGGGAAGAGGGATCATACCTGCAGTGCTTGTGTCCTGCAGCAGGAGGTGACCAGATTGTGCAGCCACCTCATCCGTTTCTTACCCACAGCAAACCTGGGTGCATTTCTCATTCAGAACCCTTTAATGATAAGTTGGTGCAAAGAACGCAGCACGGTCGCCTTTAGGTCATTCTTTTGTGCAGAGTGTCTGTGTGTGCATGTGCTGCTTAGGCATAACCAAGTGTAATTAGTTGAACTGTGAAAAATTAATTCCTCTCATGCCTGGTACTGGGAGAACAGTGGTGATTTGCTCACAACATCCTTCCAAGTGTGAATCTGCTTAGCAGTGGGATAGAGCTCTCCAAGTTCTAAGCTGCTGGGTCTGTTTCTTGTTTTTCCACTTGCTTTCAGTATGACTCCAGGAAAAGGTTTAATTCTCGTTCACCCTCATCTCTTCAGTTTCTGAAAGATGATTATCACATTGATTCACTTTTTGAAGGTATTTTTAGTTTCTATCCCTTAGTGGTGCTAAAGAATGTACCAATGGCACATGGAATTTAGGTGGGCACATCTTGGTGATAATGACAATGTTTAGAGATTTTGTTGTTGGAAATGTAAAAGTTAACGAGTCCAGAAGTCATGTAGTGTGCCAATATGCCAGTTCTCAGGCCTTTCCCAAAGCTTTCAGGCTTGCTTTCCTCTTCAGTGTAACTTCATCAACCATGCCAGGGAAACAAATGGATGTGCAAAATGCCATTAACCTCTTCTTTTTCCCATTTTCAGAGACCTGAAACCTTCACCATTCTGTCCCTTTTGCTGAGGAAGATATTCTTAGAAACTTTTAGATCTTCTTGCAGTAAAAAGATAAATCACATGATGATTCATGATTTTCTTATATATTTGAAATACAGAAAAGTGTTAAACCAGGCTAATGAATCCCCACTCTGCATTTATCTCTCCACTACTGACAGAAGATCATCAAGGAAGATGAGTCTTGAACAAAAATAACAGGCTGCTTTCATATGTTTTATGTAACAGATGGCAACAGCTTGTTTGACTCCATGGCCGGGGGAATGCGTCTGATCGTGAGCTGCATCTCCTCCTTCCTCATCCTCTCTCTGCTGCTTTTCATGGTCCACCGGCTGCGCCAGAGGCGGAGAGAGCGCATAGAGTCCTTGATTGGAGCAAACTGTGAGTACCAACCTTGTGCCTCATGCTCATTATTGGCAGGTTGATGTACATAGAGGTGAGAAATGTCCTGCTCTTGCTTGACTGTGCCTGGGTGCGTGTCTTGGTAGGGTCTCCAAACTTGAACTTTTATTGGTTAATGGAAAGATATTTTTTTTTATTTGTATGCGGTCCAAGTCTGAAATATCTTCTGTGTGAGTGGTGTCCATATTTTGAAGAGGTTAGAGTCAAATTTAGATGTAATGCAGGACAAACAGACTGGGAGCAGGTGGGTCTGGGTATGGTTGTTAACTGCAGCAAGTTGACTTGTATGGGTTATGTAGACTTTTTTAGGTCTTCGGGAGACATGAGTTCCTTGGGTGTGAAGAGTGGAAAAAGGTGTTGAGATCTGACTTAAACTGAAGAAGAAAGCACGAGATAAAGTCACTGACTCCTTTTTCTTCTCTTGAAATAGTGCACCATTTTAACTTGGGCCGCAGGATGCCTGGCTTCGATTATGGTCCCGATGGTTTTGGAACTGGCCTTACTCCACTGCATCTTTCAGACGATGGGGAAGGTGGAGCATTTCATTTCCATGACCCACCTCCACCCTACACTGCTTACAAGTATCCAGATATTCAACACCCAGATGACCCACCTCCTCCTTATGAGGCTTCTGTCAATCCAGACAGCATCCTTTGTTCCACTCCAGGTACGCAGGCAATCATTTTCTCTTTCCTTCCACTTGTTAATTTTGGCTAGAGGATAGATTTTTATTTTTTAAACTATGATGATGTGTTTCAGCAATTGTGATGGGAAAATACACTTTAAATAAAATCTCCAATTTTTGTGATGGAAAAGTCTTTTGTTAAAGTGTATCATTAACCTTTCACAAAGGTTCTTTGGATCACCTAAATTAGAAGTGGAATCCAATCTGCAAACAGTTTACCTCTTAGACCTTACCCATTTTCAAGCCTTACCTTGGATGGGTAACCTGGTTAGCTTTCTTTTTTCCACTATGCTGTTACAATTTGTGGCCTGTTGAAGATGGGTCTATAGAGATTAATATTAAGAACTAGAACAAATGTCAAGTACAAGAGATTTTGAACAAAATATATCCAGTGTCTTCTCTCCTCCCTGCTTCCCCCACCCACGCCCCCCAAAAATTGACCAAAAATACCACTTTCTAATGATTCACCCAGTGCTCTTCAGTTTTGCAGCTGTGATATTCACATACTGTAGAAATCATTCCAATTTGGGATTTTATAGCAGCGTATTTCACAAGATAAGTGAGCCTGATTAGTGCAAGCATCTTATTTATATGTCGAAGTTTTATTTTCGCTACACCATTTTCCTCTTTTGCAGTCTCATCTTGTTGTGCATTAGCGCAAAACCAGGAAAAACTCAGAGCTTCCAGAAATACAGATCGTAAATCTATTTGGGAGTGTGAAATGTTGTACTTCACGTTCTGATTCTGCTTGTTTTCTGTCCTTTACAGATGGAGTTCTCTCTCAGACTGTGCAAACCAGTCCTCCATCACTAGGAAACTGTGATGTATCCCCACAGCTTACAGAGGGGTCGCTTCCTCCCTCAGTTGGTCCTTCTCCAGTGGAGCTGGAAGACTCTGCTGACAGCAGCACCTTTCTTGTCCCTCCTGACACCCCACTAAATGAGAACACACCGGCAGAAACTCTTACGGGCAACCATCACAGCCACTGTTCCCTCAACACCATTGTATAGAGGAGCGAAACGCCCATCACTGGTCAGAGTTTTAGCAACTGTTTGCACAGACAAACACTAATCCGTGGTTCGAACTTCAGAAGGAATCTCCACTTTGTTTTTCAGACACTGCTTTTATGTTCTAGTTTAGGATCGTGCCTCTCGTTTTTTTGGCTGTCGTTATTCACTCACTAATCAACTTGTCCTGTAAATATGGACTTGTATAACTGCTCTTTTTTTTTTCCATTGGCTATGGAAAAGAGAGCAGAAAATTCCTTTGACTTCTAAGGAGGTAAAAAGTATGGGTAGTTTGGTTTTTGGTTTTTTGTTGTTTTGTTTTTTTTCTTAACCTGAGAGGAATCAAAATCTACATCAGAAAAAAGCTACTTGGATTTGGCTGGATACCACAGGATCCAGGGAACAGACAATGGAAAAGGAGGGCGGGGGCAGTCACTGTTCAAGCAGAGAGGACGGAACTGCAGGGGAAGGGGCTGGGGACCTGTTTTGCAGAGTGGGGGCCCTGAGCAACAAAACACAGGGCACCAAGGGTTGCACTGTGTAAAACACATGTGGGTTTTCACCTGCACTGCTGTTTCAGAACACCATAGGGATGCAGAGTGAATGGTCTACACAATATGTGACGAGTGGGTACTAAGAAAACTGGGATTTGCAATTACAATTATTTGTTGCTGGTACCTGCAAAATCTCATGGTTGGGTAAACTTCTGGCCCATGAAGGAAACTGATTCTGTGTGATGTCCCTTTGGTAGAACCCTCACGTGTGTTAGATAGTACTTTAGGGAAGAGATGGGGAGCAATTAACTTTGATGCAGCCTGAGTTCACTGTATGAAGCCCCTGTTTGTTACAATCCCATAAGGAAGATCGAGGTATTTTTCTTTCTAGGTTAACTCCTTTACAGTGAACAGTTGCACAAGACTGGCCTGGATAAAAGATCATTGTTCTTGCTTTTCTTATTGCATGCTATATTTAGCATGTGTGTTCCCTCCCCTCCATTTCACTTCTTTGCAGTTCTACAAATACCACTTAAAAACGGTGATCAACACGTACTATACATGATGTTTAATTCTAATTGGACACTTGTTCCTTATCTGAGTCCCATAAATTGCCAGCCCTGTTCTAGAGATTTCCCCCGTGCCCCCCAAACCATTTATCCAGGTCCCACAAGGGTTTATAATGAGGTTAGTGTACTTAAATCAATAAAACAGTTTGCTTCAGTCTGATATGTCATCTTAAATTTCCCCCTTGTATTGAACTCTTTAAACTAAGTTAATTTACAGATTACAAAGATTCATTCACTCCCTCACAAAACCCAAAGTCAAGCACTGTTGGTTTTGATAATGAGTGCGAAATAATCTTGACAGGTGACTTTAAATTTGTTTGGATTTCGGCGTACAAATAATTTACTTTTTTCTCCCATCCTCCCCTTGTCTCTGCTTCTCCTTGACTTACTGTAACAGTCAGCAGATGAGATGAATTTTAAGGAATTTGTAAAGAATGCCCCCTGTAAATGGTCTCCTGTTACCTTATGAAGGGTACAAGCCTAGAGGGACAGGAACAAAACACTGCATGGGGGTGTGTATGTGATCTATTTTTCTAGTAATGATGAGAAGTCATACTTGTATGACAAATCCTAACCCACTGTTGCAGTTTCCCAGTGCAGCTGACTCTTTCCCCGTGGAATATGCTGCTACTTTCTATTCCCTCTCTTGCCTGTAGGCTTATACTGTACTTGGGGATTGGTCTTGACAATTCAACTCCTTTTGCACAGAAAACTGTGGGTTTCATTACTGAGATCGTGTCTGGTGCCTTGACATTCAGACACTTGCTAACAACCCCGACTCCGTCGGAGAGCGTGAATCACAGCTCTGGGTGTGCTGCCGGCACACGAGTGGGAGGAAGCACTGTTGGGAAGCCTCCCCGCCTGGAGCCGCCCGCGTCCCGCGCTCCGGTCTGACTGGCTGCAGCAGCACTGGTACCAAACGAGAGGAGCGCTGCTCCACCCCGCGGGATCTCTTACCGTCTCCTCCTCCTCCTCCTCCGCGTTCCAAGCCCTGGTCCAATGAAGTGGATGGATGGCAGTGGTCAGAACCATGCGTACAAATTACCGAGCATTTCTGAAGTATGAAAATAAAGCGGGTTTTGTGCGTTTTTGAGCACATTCATACGTTTTATACATTGTATGTACTGATTTTCCTTTAGTTTTATAGGTACGAATGCGTGTGCGTGCGTGTGTGTTTCTGGGTGGTGACATATATATATATCTATACATACTGTAGACAGTAACCTTTGTGCTGCATCCCACTAGGTGAAGCTGAGCACTGAGATAGAAACTAGGCTCTAGGGTTAATACTTCTCTCAAGCTGGCTACACTCTGTTGTAGGACAGGTTGGGATAGAGTACACTTAAGTAGGATGCAAAGTCTATGCTACTACAATCTGTTCCTGAGAAATATTTTGTTAGCAGTGCAAACTAGAAAATTTCCAATTTCTTTTGAAGCCAGGTGGAATATTTGTTCTTTGTAGTATCCTAGCGCAATAACAAAAGGCCTTTTGGCTTGGTCTCTGAAGCTGTTTTGTGGCTGAGGTGAACAGATACCTTACCTCACACTTCTCCTAACACTGCAGGGATCTGTTCAACATTTTTTTATTTTACTTTTGGTTCTGTGGTGAGTTTTATTTGCAAATAAGCTCTGTTACAACTGGCAACTTCATGGTGGCTCCTGGTTGTAGCTATTCCAAATGGAGGCTTCTTTGTAGAAGCCTCATTGTGATATTTTCCCCATTGCTTCTGAGCCTTTCCCACTTGTATATTGGCAGTAGGCTGCTATTTTCTCTATTTTCCCCTATCCTTCTTCATCTTAACTGTAAACAAGGGAAATTCTGCCTTGAATGGAGCAGCTCACTAAGTACAGCTCGTTTACCTCTCAGTGAGCTTCTAATTTGGCAATAAAATTGTCATTTTTTTCCCTTTTTAATGTAGCTTTTTCACTTTGAGTACTTTCTCTTGGAGTAAGAGCCTTTGTAGCGGAAAACGTCCCAACTACTCAGACTTCTGGACCAACTGGGGAAGAGTTAAGTTTCCATGACAGCAGTGGACTCCTCAGCAAACCTTCCTTGCCCTTGGCAAGGTGACTGGGAGGCAGTTTGTCCTGAGCACCAGTTACAGAGGGTTGATGCTTGCCCGAGGAAAACCTTTCTGTTTTGATTGCCATTAGATTGATGAGATCTTTGGAGTTACTTTGTGATTGATTTTTTTTCTCCCGCCACTGTTCATATCTCTGGATGTTTTTCTTAACTGCTGATGCATCCTAAACATCCCTCCAGACGCAGCAGGGAGATGGCATTGCCCCATGTTTCCCAGCAGAGTGTGTGAGCCAGGAGTGTGTTTATCTCGGGATGTCCTTGACCGCAGTTGTTGTGAAATCCCAGCACTCGGCTCCGAGCAGGGCTCACACCTCCCGTTGTGGCCTCAGACAAAGCTGCTCCTCAGATTCCCCCCTCCTTTTGATGTACTGTGGTGCCATATGAGGTCTCTGCTGTTCCTTAAGAGCAGCCCCAGATACTCTGGTTTGTCAGTGATGCCTCTGTACACAGTGTCACAGCAGCCCCTGATTCTGTACTAGGTGAGTTGTAGGGTTAAAGCGTTAGAGGGGCAGAGGGTCATGTTCTGTGCTAGGTCAACACTGTTATTCCAATATGCGACAAAATTTGTCTGTGTAATGTTCAGTCCTGTTTAGTTTGAGCCTCAGATTGTTCCTTTATCCATGCACAGCAGGACGCTGATCTGGAAGAAGAATGAAGTAGGTGGACATTTTTTTCCAAAAGCTGAATCTTGCAGTCGGGCGGTGCTTTGACTCCATGGATGTTGTGATGACCTGTTCAGGCGTCTCCCAAGTTTCACTTGGGAAGAAAGTGGGTTTTTGTGACCAATAATTATTACCATTCTTTTCCCATCTCGTATTAAACAAACTTGAAGCTATTTTTGAGCATGTTTTTATCTTTCGGATGTGACTTCTCAACGACAAAGCACTGATGTTTTAATGTTGCCTCATACAATCCCTAACGCGCATCTTTTTTTTTTTTCAGTTGCTGAAATGTCTTTCTTCTCCCTAGCTAACAAACATGCAAAGAAATTTCTTTTAAATTTCCCTTTCAAATTGGGAACTGAACCCTAAAATTGCAGCGGTTGAGCGTAGGAGGTGAATCGAAGTCCATGCGTTTGCTTCCGACGTTCCCCAGTCCCAAATAAAATAAGTGTTTCTTTGGAATAGATGCTTTCAGTGATAAAGATGCACTTCTCGTAACAACAGTCAGCATTACCTGCCTGCTACGGTACCACATAGCTTTAATTTTCTGGTATGTGCACCTTGAGTGCTGAGTGGGTCGGAGTCGATGCCAGCAGAGGTGGCCGTGCTTGTGCCACACCCTGCCTGTTGGGCTGAGGGTGCCTGGGAGGCTGTGAGAGAATGAGACACTGCTTTTTACCTTCCTCTGGAAAATCGTTTTAGCCAGCGCTGCACTTGCAGGCTTCTCCTGTGTAGTTGGTTTGTGACTGGACTTAACTGTGGCAGTGTAAAAAAGATTTTGATATTCTGTGAAATACCATGTAGAATTTAAATTTGATACTATAATAATTGAGTCCCTGTGACACTGGTTTTTTGTTTTAACTTCTTTGGGGTTGGCACTAATCTATCTTTTTTTTTTTTTTTTTTTTTCCAAGATGCTGTGAGAAACATTTCATCCAAATGCCAAATAAATTGTGTTCTGTAAGAGAAATGTCCTGTTCCGATGTCTCCTGATTTCTGCGTCAGTGTGGTTCCCCAGCGTTGCGAAGGAAGGCTTTGTTAAATCACACTTCTGAGCTGTGATCTTGCAGAAGATCAATAGATGCGTTTAACATGGAGCAGGGAGGCTGCCAAAGTCCCTGTTATGCGAATTCCAGTGGGATTTACCTGTATTAGTGTAATTTTAGGAAAGTCTTGGGATTATACCCAAGAAGGTGAAGTGCAGTATATTCCTGCTGCCCTCCCCAAGCCCGGGGGAAGGTGCTGAGTGCCGGGGCAGGAGGTTGTGCTGGATGGAGGGGGTGGTCTGGACCCCCAGCTCCTGTTTTCCACGAGCCACTGGGCACGCAGTGATTGCTGTGAGCGCTGTGGAACAAGTCCCCGCAGCGCTGCGGGGCCGTCCCGTGCCCTGCTCGGGGCCGCAGGATGCGTTCATTGCTGAAAGCCATCCAGGGGCAGTGTCATCGTCGCTGCGGGGGCCAGGCAGGGCTCCGCTCCCCCTTTCCTGTGCCTGCAGAGGGCGGCTGCAGCCGCCGCCGTCGCTGCTGGACTTGAACCAGCACAGCTCCAGAGCTCCATCCCCGCGGGATGCTGGGTCAGCTGAAGGCGATGCGATGCAGCCCTTCCTTCGCTGCTGGTTTGGGGGAGACAAACATCCCTCCACAGCAGCTGCCTGATGTCACGGGCGCTTGGAAGGGACTCAGTCTGGCAGGGACCCCGTGGGGCTCTGCCTTTGCTGGAAGATCCTGTGCAGGTACAACTTACCCTTCCCTCTTGCCCCTTGTTGCTTGGGGACAGGACAGCTCCCACGGGGAGCAGCCTGGATTGCCTGGAGCATGGCCACGGCTCTCGGGGCTCCCCACCGCTCCCCAGGGACACATGTGTGGAGGGCTGCCCTGTCAGTGTTGACCCTCGGCTGCTGTGGTAGAGCATTGCTGGGCAGCCTCCTGCTGTGTTCAGCACGGCGTGTCCGGGGCCCTCAGCCCCTGGAAGAGCGCCAGGGCCCGAGGAGCGTGTCAGACACACGAGGGACCGTGTGCTGGCAGTGCCCCCGGGGGTGCCAGGCCGTGGGGGGGGAGATGTCGCTGACCCCGGCGGCGGTGGGAGCGTGGGATGAATGAAGGGGCTGTGCAGCGGCGTGTGGCCAGCGCGCATCTGCTGCCCACAGTGCCTCCTTTGTGCCTGCTGCTGCTGCGCTCCCTGCCCTGCTCCCGGCTTGCTGCCTGGGCTAGCAGCAGCTTGTTATGGGGATCAAAGATCCTTATGGCAAATCAGGGGTGGCTGGAGTATTTATTGCCCATGAACTTTACTTACTTGCCTCTCTGGATGCCCATAACCTTTCGCGCATCCATCTGTGGGTAATGTGAACCACACTCTGGCGGCTCAAGTCTTTGTCTTGTCACTGTCCCTGTCAGCCCAGGTCCCCGGCCAGGCTCCCAGGCGGATGTGTAGGATTCACCTCCAGGAGCTGTTCTTGGCACCTCCACTGGGTGCTGGCACAGGGCTTGCTGACGGTGCACGTGGTGGGGGTTCCCAGCACAGTGGCACCGTGCCCACAACTGATCGATGGCTGCAGCTTAAGGAACTATTTTTATATCTCAGTGATATTTTTTCCCCTGTCCTGGCTCTTGCCCTTGGTGCCGTGACTACGTGTGTCTGCAGGGACCTCGCCTGGCTCCGTGGTGGCAGCCTGATGGACGTGGTGTCTCCCCATGAGGACAGCACAGAGCTGCAGGATCAGCCGTGAGCTCAGCATGACCACCAACACATCAGCAAGGCCAGCAATTTCAAGGTTTGATCTGGTTCCTATAGAAACTGGAGGTTGCTCCTGCCTGGCACGGGTGCTGGCAGCCAGCGGTGCACCCTGGGGAGTGGGGCAGTGGGGATGGGCGGGAGCAGGGTGTGGCACAGAACCTCGGTGCTGCTGCTGTCTTTCCACATGCCTTGCAGACCCCTCTGCTTCCTTGCTCCGCTCCTGCCTCTCGTCGGGGCTGTGCTGAGCCCCACTCTGCTCCTGCCCTCCTTGCTAGAAATCACCGCCAGAGAAGCCTGAAATCCTAAAAAAGTGTTCTGGGGAGCAATAGCTATGGGGTGGGGGGTCTCATCAGCTCCTGACCCTAAGGGTCTTGGGCTTCTCCTTCACTGCCTGGCAATACAGGCTGTCCTGCTGTGGGTGGGTGGAAGAGGTGCTACTTGGCAGGCTCATGTCTCCAATGGAGGTTTTGATCTCACAGGTGCCAGAGCAGCTCCTCTCTTTCCTGGCAGTAATGGGCAGCAGGCTGCAGACCTGGTGCAGAATACCTCATCCCCGGAGCGGGGGCCAAGTGTCAGCTGTGGCGCAGATCCAGAGCAGCTCGGGGAGACCTGTACTGCTGCCCTCCTCTGCTGGGGTCCAGATGCAGCTTGGTGCTGCCCAGGTACCTGCCTGGGGCTGGCGCTGGCTTGGGGCCACAGGGGTGCCCCAAAGAACCCCTGCTGAGGATGAACCCCTTGTAGCACATGGCAGCCAGGCAGTTCTGCTGAGCCGGAGCCCATTCCCGGCCAAGCCGGCAGCAGGAGGCTGCTTCCTGCTGCCCTCGCGCTGCTGCCGGGTTTGTTCATCCTGGCACTGGCTCGACAGAGCTCCTGGCCAGGGCCAAGTGCCGGCGAGGGGCGCTGCAGCCTGGGTCCCGTGGCCTCCTTTCCACTGCTGCCTGAGGATGGCAGGGATATTTTAGGAGAATGTGACAACACCATACTCCTGTGTTCTCACCCCCTTCCTACCTGCCTACTGAGAGACCACAGCTCCTTTGGTGAGATCCTGGCTCCTGTGGGACCTTCCTGGACAGGTGCAATGGGAACGGCGTGTGCTCACTCCATGATGAGGAGCTGAAGAGCTGCCTCCACCAGCACAGGACGCCTGCACTGGGTGCATAAGGCTTGTGCCCCAGTGCTGCCCCTCTGCCCTGGCCGGCTGTGGCTGTGAGAGCCTGAGTCACTGCAGCCTTGTGCCCACTGAGAGGAAAGGGCTGAATCCTGCCCCACCAGAGTGTGGCTCCTTGGTGAGCCCAGCAGCTGAGGGTCCTCTGTAGTGGGGCTGTGGAGGCCGCCTGGGCACTGAGGGGGTGCTCACTGGACTGTGCTCACTAGGCTTTGCCCAGGCAAGGGCCTCTGTTTTCAGGGCTCAGCTGGGTTTGGTCTATGGGTCCCCATGGCACCACCTGCCCCTCAGCAGGTGGGAGCCACCACGCTCAGGCGTGGGAGATGCAGGACTCGCTGCTGACTGGGGCGTTGTCAAAGCTGGGGGCGAGAGTGTGTCCCACAGCATGTGTCTGCAAGAAGTGTGCAGGGTATGGGGCAGAGCTAGTGCCCTCAGCCCCTTCTGTCTACTGGCAGCCCCCTGAATCTCATCTGTAGTTCCACACACTGCGGGGGTAGGATGGGGCGCAGCGGGAATGCCGCTGAACCCCAGCTTTGGGGATGCAGAGCGGGATGGTACCGGGGGGCACCCCCTGGCAGGGAGCGGGGCGGGCAGCGCTGCACCCGTGGGATCCGCCAGCCCCCGCTCCCCGCCTGTCCCTGTCCCTGTCACCGGAGGCAGTGACCTGGCGGGCGCGGGGGGCTGGCTGGGGGCCGGGCTCTCCCCGCTCCCTCCTAGCAGCCGAGGAGTTAAAAACTCAGCCCGGGTGATGAATATGTAAGAGCAGAGCCCAGGCTGGAGCCGAGCATCTCCCGGGCTGCGGGCGCTGCCAGCGCTGCCGCCCGCCCCAGCCCAGCACCAGCCCCGCCGGGCGCACTGCGGAGGGACGGGACGGGGCAGTGCGGGGGTCCCCCCGCTGCCTCCCGCCGCCATGGGCCCCACCGGGCTCGGCATAACTTTCCTGACTCTGCCCCTCGTCGTGCGAGCGGCCGCGGGAGGTGAGCTGCGCCCCGGGGCAGCGGGACGGGGGTCCCGCGGCGGGAGAGAACGGGAGCGTGGGGCTGGGGACCCGTAGGGGCATCGCTTATTCCATTCCCTTCCCACGTGCTGTGGGATGATGCCGGCTGGGGAGGTTGGAGGCAGGGACTGGGGGACCTGGTCTGGCCCAGGACCCCTCTCCTGCGCTCCCACTGCCCCCCTCCCCGCTGCTGAATGTCCCTGCGCACCGCTGGGCTCGGGAGGTCTCAGCCCGCCCGGGGCTCTGTGCTGACCAGGCCAGAGTCCCCTTGGGGCACTGGGGCTTGGGCTCAGCCCATCCGCCCCACAGACCTGCACTGTGGATGAAAGCTGCGAGCGAACGGGGGGCTGCCAGTCCCGGGCCGAGGCGCTGGGTGCTCACCTGCATCTGGGGCTGGCCAGTGCTACCTTGGCTCCTGCCAGAGGATGCTCGAGGGCTGGTGCATGCAGGTCTGAGGATTTTCCAGGAGTTCAGCTTTCCCCTGGACCCCGAGATCCCTGCCCTTGGGATGGACTGTCTGAGTCCTGCACTGTCCTGCTCCCAGTTCTCCTCTGAGGCTGGTGTCTCTTGTATCACTGTAGTGAGAATTCGAATGCAGTGCCACAGGCTGGGGCCATGAGCAGCACAGGTGGAGGCAGGCAGGGCTGCCTTTGTCCTGCTGGTCTGAGTGGCAGTGGCTGGCACAAGAGCATGGCTTGGCTCCCCTGCAGCCGGCCTGCTGGCATGGCCCCTCAGCCATCAGCAGGGACTGTTTGTGTAGGCTGGCCCTGGACAGCACCAGGTTGCTCCTGGTTGTGAGGAGCAGGATGGGGAGCTGAGGAGGGAAGGGGTGCAGTCCCCAGCTCCCATTGCAGAGCTGATGGTCCTGGGCAGATGTGCAGGCAGCAGAGCAGGAACAGGGCTCCAGCTTTCTTGGCATCCCCTTGGTATCCCTGTGTCTGCTGTGCCAGCACTTGTCACCACACGGATGGTGCCCGCAGCCCTCCTGAGAGCGGGCAGCCGGTGGGAGTTCAGCAGCTCTGGCTGAGGTGGTCCTGAGTGATGGGACAAGCCGTCACCCCCACAGTGTGGGCACAGGCCTACCCACTGCCTGCCTGCTGCAGCCACCAGCAACTGCCTGCTGCTGCCAGCCCACCTGCGGGAGCCATGGGGAGCACCAGGAAGGGCTGTCACAGCCCCCTCGGCTCCCACTCACCCACGGCTGCAGCAGGGCTGCAAGGCATCTGCTGTGGGGTGAGGGGCTGCCTTGCTAGGATGGGTGGGGGGGATGGCTCCACAGTAGCTGGGGAAGGAGCGCAGCGAGCAGCAAGGCTTGGCTGCCTTGGAGCAGTGATTCTGAGGGAGGTTTCCCTGTGGAGCGGCTGGGGGAGGCAGGGAGGGTGTGAAAACACCAGCCAAAAATAACTGGGATGAACACAAGTGTCGGTGGGACCCCAGGCTGCAATGAGGGATGTCCTTACTGCTGGGGGGCTGGGCACAGCCCTGTGTAGGTTTGGGAAGGGGTGCCTGTCTCCATCACCTGCCCTGAGCTCTCCTTTCTCCTGCAGGGCAGTGGTGTTACGACTCGCAGGACCCCCAGTGTGGTAAGTGGTGCCAGGTGTGGGAGGGGGGCTGTCGGGGCTGTGTGGAGCTTGGACCCCACAGTGCCTGGCCAAGGGCACCCTGGGCAGCATCAGCGAGGTCGCAATGGGAAGCATGGCATGGAAAAGGGCAAATGCCCCCATGTCACTCTAAAGTGGGAATGGTTAGAGGAGCTTCGCTCTGGAGTATGCTGGTGTAGAGACTTGACAAACACTCAAGCCCCTCAGAGTGACTTGGCCCCACCCTTCACCCCAACTAGATCTGGGTGCTCCTGTGGCAGCACCAGCTTTCCCCCTTTCACCTGAAACAAATTAAATCCTGGATTTAAAATATGCCATTGGAAACCCCAGTGCAGCACAGGCAGCAAGGGTCTTGGAAGGCTCAGGGGCCTGACTGGAGAAGGGACAGCTCCCTTTGGGGAGGCAGCAGGCCTGCCTGTCTGGCTGGGGAGAGAAGTATGCCTGGGGGCACTTTGTCTCAAAACATGCAAATAGCTTGTAAGAGGTTAATTAAAGATCATCAAGCATTTAATCAGCTGTTACGGCCCAACTGTTTTATAGCTCTTGGGTTTCCATGCCCCGTGGCTCGTGAGTATGGATTGCTGAGCTCCGCTCATCCCTGTTGGAGCAAGGGTTGGTCTTTCCCAGTTTAATGTTGTCAGGGTGGCAAGGGCAGGTTTTGGCAGGGGAGAGGGGCCGGTGGGAAGCGGCTCGGGCAGCGTGGAACCGGCTGTGTGCCCTCAGCCAGCTGTGTGCCCATGTGGAATGGTCCCTTAATGAACACACCAGGTAATTTGTGGGGCCACTCAGTAACACCATGCCAAAAAGCTAGTGGGACACCACCGGCACAGCCAGGCTGTGGCTCCCAGGGCTTCCAGGCAAAAAGTTGCCTAGAGTAATGAGAGGAGAACATAAAGGGACAGGGCTGAGCCCAGGAGGGCAGGAGGTGGATTCAGTCTACAAGTGTCTGTGGTTTTGTCTGCTGAAGAGGAAGGTAAATGTTAAAGCTGAACCATGGGGCACTGCTGGGGGAACAGTTCCCCAAACCCTGGCTGTAGCCAAAGGCTGCCCAGCCGCAATGTGTGCCAGAGCAGAGCCAGCAGTGTCTGCAGAGGGATGCACTGAGCTCCCTCGGGACTGAAGGTGCCCTGAGTGGACAGGGCTGGTGACACTGAGGGAGCTCCTGTTACCTGGGACTGAGCCCAGGTACTGGCAGTGCCCAGTGCCTTCTGCAGCCTGGGCTGCACCAGGTGAAGGAGTGAGGTGTCACGGCAGCCACACTGGAGCAGTGACCAGGAGGGTAGTTGGCTACATCCCCCAGTTGTGGATGCAACAAGTGTTGAAAGAAGAGCTGATGCCGGGGTGATGGGGACAAGCTATATATATGAAGTGTGTGGTCTGGCCATGGTGGCAGTTGTGGGGATGTCAGCTCACAGCCCCCCAGGCAGCACTGTGGGTTTGCAGTGGGTCCAGCTGGCTGCCAGTGCTGCCATGTCCTCACACAGCTCCTGCCATCGTGACCCCTCACCCCAGGAGCTGCTGATGGACATCGTGTGGTCACACAGGACCCTGTGTAGGATTCACCCCAGGATGAGTTGTGTGGCCAGGATGCACTGTCACCTGTCACAGCTTGACAGAACCAGCATGGGTAGGCTAAGATGTGCTGAAACCCAGGGACGGGTAGAAGAAGTTTGGGAGAAAAGCTTGCCCTTCACCAGCACCAGTGGAGGGAGGGACACTGCTGCTCAGCTAAATATAACCCCTGGCCCCTTGAGGAAATCCTGCTGAATAATGGATGAGGCTGCAATAAGCCCCTGCTCATCAATAGGGAGGAAGCTCTGCTGGGTAGGAGGGCAGCTCCCACAGGATGTGAGTGAGAACGACTGGGCTGGCAGGGACAGCAGGGCTGGCTGGGGACACAGCCACCCGTGGCCTTGTGTCCCCCCCGGGGGTGGCAGTGCCTCTGTGGCTGCCCGTGGTGCCCCTGCTCCTCCCCTGCAGGGCCCA